CCTCTTGTTACTTTTGAGGTTCCACTGCAAATTGATGGAGTTTGAGGTACATTTCCCACAATATCACTCCCAGTATGCATTTTGTTTGGTCACTTTGAAATTTACTTCATAATCAGGAAGACACACCATATGCTGCTCTTCAAATTAAGAGCTATAAAAACAGGTGAAGGCAAAAGACCAAAGTAAGATCTAAACATACACAGTTACTCAGACCTTAGTTCACTGTTTAATGCAGGAGCTAGCAACATGTGGCTCCCAACGTTGTTGTATTCCAGCTGCCAGGAGTCCCAAAAAGTACAGCCAATAAGGGGAAATCATGGGAACTGCAGCCTGGACTTTGTTTCCACTTGATGTAAATAGGTTTACTTCAAAATAAGTGGGTATAAAATGGGAAACTTAACCCTAGGTTATGCTTTGCTCACACCTACATTAGAAGAAATTGAAAACCAATATATAAATTTCAAAGGTGGAACCACAACTCTTGTTATATAAAGGTTAGAAGGCAGAATCATTTTACTAATGGATATTGATAGACTTGGAAATTTTCATTTGAGATTATAACTCCAACAAGTCCCAGGGGATTCTGGGAATTTAAGATGTGGGAAGTCGCAGCAAGCAAGAGAAATTGACAGATCTATGTCTCTGTAAGAGTTCGGCATGCTAAGATAACACATATTATGAAAGGAAAAGCAAAAGGAAACAGAGAATTCCGTTTGGCTATACATTTATTATTTATTTACTTTATTTATATACCGCTTTTCTCAGCCCTCAGGCGACTCAAAGCGGTGAACAACATCGATACAAAACATCACGAGACAAGTATAGGGCAATTAAAAACAATTGTAACATAAATCATTAAACATCAGTATAACAATCATTAGTGCCTCAGCAGTAAAATCATGTGTAATACATGTGTAAACTCTTTAATCCACTAAACTGCCTTGTAAAATAGGTTAGGCTCAGAGACACCAACTTTCCCAAGGTAATCCCATAAGCTTCATGGTTGAAAGGGGATATGAAACCACTTTCTTTAATTCAAGTGGGCCTCTGTTTGTGTTCAGCCCCCTTGCCTGATTCTCAGAGTTGTACAGGGGGTCACGATGATGTCATCTTCCATTTATAATTGTCTCACCCTTGCTCCTTGCTTTATTTTCTTTCCACAAAAAGATCTGTGAAGGAGGAAGTGATGGAACAGCTGCAGCAGGCCTTTTGACTGATAGCCAGGAGCCGTCTGCCCAAAAGTGCTCCAACACATTTGGCACTACTTTAGGGACAGCCTAAAATAATGTGCGTTTTTATAAAGCAGCTCAATTGCACTGGCTTGGCCTCTTGAGGCCAAGGATGCTTTTAGATTGGCACCTCCCCACAATATCAATCACAAAGTATTGATGACAGTGACTTGGAAGTTGGGTCTCCATAAATTGAAGATGACTAGGGTTGTATCTGTATTGTAGAGCTAACACACTTTGACACCACTTTAACTGCTATGGCTCAATGCTATGGAATCTGCAGTTTGGTGAGGCATGTGGAACGACCTCCCTGTTGACATCAGACAGGCGCCCTCCCTTTTGTCCTTCCGTAGGAGCCTGAAGACGTGGCTATTTGGGAAGGCATTTAACTGAGCGCTACGGCAACTGGTAATTGACAACTGGAACGGAATTATGGATTATGATACGGGTTATGATTCTATGATGCGACGGAGYGGAGTATTTAGTGTTATTTAGTGTAATTTAGATTATTGTGTATTACTGTGGTGTTGATTTCCTGTTTTGCTCTTTTGTAACTGTTTTTATATGTTGTACACCGCCGCGAGTCGCCCTAGGGCTGAGAGCGGCGGTCAATAAATGCAGCAAATAAATAAATAAATAAATATTTTGTAGCAGGTTCATCTTTCCCACTGTAACCAAAAAAGGAAGGAAGGAAAACCAGGGMAGTTTACAAATGAAATAAAATCACCTAGAATAGAGATGAGAAACACTCAATCAGAAAAGCAACAGACCTGAATTTACATGGGCTGTTGATGACAGTGACTTGGAAGTTGGGTCTCCATAAATTGAAGATGACTAGGGTTGGATCTGTATTGTAGAGCTAACACACTTTGACACCACTTTAACTGCTATGGCTCAATGCTATGGAATCTGCAGTTTGGTGAGGCATCCACATCCTTTGGCAGAAAAAAATGAAGGCTTTGTAAAACTACCTCTCCTATGATTAAATAGCATTGAACCATGTCAGTTAAAGTGGGATCAAACTGCATTAATTACAGGATATAGATCATGCATGGTCAAACTTCAGCTCTCCAGGTGCTTTGCACTTCAACTCCCAAAATTTCTGTTAGGAATTGTGGGAGTTGAAGTCCAAAACACCTGGAGAGTCAAAGTTCGCCCATGATTGAATTAAAGATGTACCAATGAAAGTAGATATTAAAGAGACAAGAAAATGAGCAAAAACGAGTGAAAGGTTTAGTTGACAGTTCATGATCTCAATTGCTACCTTAGGGACTTTATAGGGTTTTTAACAGATCACTCTCTTCCCTCCACCCACTAATCATCTCATGTTTTGGCTGGATCCCTTCCCATAATGGCCCATAAACCAGACAGGTCGATTGTACACTGAAAGCCTCACTTGGGCTCGGACAGGATCTATATCCCAGGATCTGATCCCAGGTTTTCTGTTTATCCCAGATTATCTGGCAGTACAAACTCATATAATCCAGTTTAATGTAGAAAACCTGAGATCAGATCCTAGGATATAGGGCCTGTCCAAAAGGGCCCTCAGGCCCCTTGCACACAGTTGAATAAAATCCCACATTTTCTGCTTTGAACTGGAATATATAGCGGTGTGGATTCAGATAACACAGATCAAAGCAGATATTGTGGGATTTTCTGGCTTGATATTCTGGGTTGTATGGCTGTGCGGTACGGCCCTCACTTGAATAACTTTGGGTACATCTACACTGGAAAAATAATGCAGTTTCACCCCACTTTAACTGCTCTGGTTCAGTGCTATGGAATCCTAGGAGTTGCAGCTTAGGAGTCGTAGTTCCTAGGAATTGTAGTTCCACAAGGTCTTTGGCCTTCTCCGACAGAGTCGAAGAAGGCCAAAGACCTTGTGGAACTATAACTCTCATAGCACTGAGTCATGGCAGTTAAATTGGTGTCTACAGTGTAGATCAGGGTCCTCAAACTAAGGCCTGGGGGCCAGATAAGACCCTCCAAGGTCATTTACTTGGCCCTCGCTCAGGGTCAACCTAAGTCTAAATGACTTTAAAGCACACAACAACAACAACCCTACTTCATCAGCCAAAAGCAGACCCACACTTCCCACTGAAATACTAATAGGTTTATATTTGTTAAAACAGACATGTGCCTTTCATCTCAAGAACAGAGAAGCATCCCGAGCTCTTAAGATAACCTGGGAAGGAATCCCACTGGAGCATTGCAGCACACCCAAATACCTGGGAGTCACTCTGGACCATGCTCTTACCTACAAGAAGCACTGCCTGAACATCAAGCAAAAAGTGGGTGCTAGAAACAATATCATACGAAAGCTGACTGGCACAACCTGGGGATCACAACCAGATACAGTGAAGACATTTACCCTTGCGCTGTGCTACTCTGCTGCTGAGTATGCATGCCCAGTGTGGAACACATCTCACCACTAAAACAGTGGATGTGGCTCTTAATGAGACATGCCGCATTATCACGGGGTGTCTGCGCCCTACACCACTGGAGAAATTACACTGCTTAGCCGGTATTGCACCACCTGACATCCGCCGGAAGTAGCAGCCAATAGTGAAAGGACCAAGGCAGAGACATCTCCAGCTCATCCCCTGTTTGGGTATCAGCCAGCACGTCAACGACTTAAATCAAGAAATAGTTTTCTAAGATCTACAGAGACACTCGCTTTAACACCTCAGCAAGCGAGAGTCCAAAAGTGGCAGGCTCAAACCCAGAACCTCAACCAATGGCTGATACCAAATGAGAGACTCCCCCCTGGGCACACAGAAACTGGGCGACTTGGAAGGCGCTGAACAGACTGCGCTCTGGCATCACAAGATGCAGAGCCAACCTCAAGAAATGGGGCTACAAAGTGGAATCCTCAACATGTGAGTGTGGAGAGGAGCAAAACACTGACCACCTGCTGCAATGCAGCCTGAGTCCTGCTACATGCACCATGGAGGACCTCCTTGCAGCAACACCAGAGGCACTCCAAGTGGCCAGATACTGATCAAAGGACATTTAATCAATTTTGTATTTTGTCTGTTTGTTTGCTTGCTTTGTTCTGTTAGAAATGTAATATAATTTGACTGGTTGTCCTGACACGACAAATAAATAAATAAATTTGTTAAAAATTGTCTTCATTTTAATTATTGTATTGTTTTAAGTGTTTTTTGCACTACAAATAAGATATGTGCAGTGTGCATAGGAATTGATTCATATTTTTTTTTCCAAATTATAATCCGACCCTCCAACAGTTTGAGGGATTGTGACCTGGCCCTCTGTTTAAAAAGTTTGAGGATCCCTGGTGTAGATTCCCTCAGAGGGAAACGTTTGGGAGTTCCTCTAGGGGTGGAAATGAATGGGGAAAGGCGCCTGGAAGATGGGGCGATGATGCCACTTGGCTCCTCTGGGCACAAAAGTAACTATTTCTCATAATGAGGACTAGAGCCTGATGAGATGTGAACCTAATACAGGATGTTGGGGGGACTTGAGCTAGCAAAGGCCTTCAAACTCTTTAATTCTGACTCCTTTCTCTTCACGTTGAAGAGACGGTTGCACACGCCAAAGCTCAGCCAAAAAGCCCTGCGAGTCGAACTGAACATAAAACCCGAAATTAAGTTTGAGGAAGTCGTTGAGAAAGAACCGAGATAGGGATAAAGGCCAACTTTAAGAGGAAGGGAGGGAGGGAGGGAGGGAAAAGGGCGGCCGCCCCCGCTCCGTTCAGACAAAGGCTGCCCTCACGCACAAGGCCTCAACCAGCCAAGCGAAGAAACCCACCTGTCAAGGGGAAGAAAAGAGTCGCTGCTGCTGCGGCCACTTCCGGCCTCCCTCACCGCTCGGCACAGACTGCCCCGAAAAACTTCGAGGAGGGGGCGCGAGGCCACTGGCCACGCCTTATTTGGGAGTGTCGACCAATCGGCAGCTGGCATTTCCGGGAAGCCACGCCTACCCATGGCCGCTTTCCCCGTCTGGCCTCAGTCTAGGCGGGAGAACGTGGGAGATGAAAAGGCGGGGGAGCTGGAGGAAGAGGCCACGCCCCTTTCCTCAGGAAAGCCTTACTGATGTGCATTGTAGGCAGACATATAATATAAATAGATATATAATTTTAAATCGGTTTTATGCTATTTTTTATGAAATGTTTTATATATAAAAACAATATATAACATATTCGTTTTATTTATTTATTTATAAAATAAATAAAATTATATAAAATATATAAATATAATATATATATATTATATATATATAATATATATATATATTAATATATATATTAATTAATGGCCATCAGACTGGAAAAAATCAACTTATATCCCCATACCAAAAAAGGGAAATGCGGAAGACTGCTCCAACTTCCATACAGTGGCCCTTATTTCTCATGCCAGTAAGGTAATGCTCAAGATCCTGCAAGGAAGACTCCAGCAATACATGGAGCGAGAGTTGCCTGATGTTCAAGCTGGGTTTAGAAAAGGCAGAGGAACGAGAGACCAGATTGCCAATATCCGCTGGATAATGGAGAAAGGCAGGGAGTTTCAGAAAAACATCTATTTCTGCTTCATTTACTATTCTAAAGCCTTTGACTGTGTGGATCATAATAAATTGTGGCAAGTTCTTGGTGGGATGGGCATCCCAAGCCACCTTGTCTCTCTCCTGAGGAATCTGTCCAAGGACCAAGTAGCAACAGTCAGAACTGACCACGGAACAACAGACTGGTTCAAGATTGGGAAAGGCGTACGGCAAGGCTGCATACTCTCACCCAACCTTTTTAACTTGTATGCAGAACACATCATGCGATGTGCGGGGCTTGATGAATGCAAAGCTGGGGTGAAAATTGCTGGAAGAAACATTAACAACCTCAGATATGCAGATGACACCACTCTGATGGCCGAAAGCGAGGAGGAGCTGAGGAGCCTTCTAATCAAGGTGAAAGAAGAAAGCGCAAAAGCCGGGTTGCAGCTAAACATCAAAAAAACCAAGATTATGGCAACAAGAATGAATGACAACTGGGAAATAGAGGGAGAAAATGTGGAGGCCGTGACAGACTTTGTATTTCTAGGCGCAAAGATTACTGCAGATGCAGACTGTGGCCAGGAAATCAGAAGACGCTTACTTCTTGGGAGGAGAGCAATGTCCAGTCTCGATAAAATAGTGAAGAGTAGAGACATCAGACTGGCAACAAAGATCCGCCTAGTCAAAGCCATGGTATTCCCTGTAGTAACCTACGGATGTGAGAGCTGGACCTTAGGGAAGGCTGAGCGAAGGAAGATCGATGCTTTTGAGCTGTGGTGTTGGAGGAAAGTTCTGAGAGTGCCTTGGACTGCGAGAAGATCCAACCAGTCCATCCTCCAGGAAATGAAGCCCGGCTGCTCATTGGAGGGAAGGATACTAGAGACGAAGTTGAAGTACTTTGGCCACATCATGAGGAGACAGCAAAGCCTAGAGAAGACAATGATGCTGGGGAAAGTGGAAGGCAAAAGGAAGAGGGGCCGACCAAGGGCAAGATGGACGGATGGCATCCTTGAAGTGACTGGACTGACCTTGAAGGAGCTGGGGGTGGTGACGGCCGACAGGGAGCTCTGGCGTGGACAGGTCCATGAGGTCACGAAGAGTCAGAGACGACTGAACGAATGAACAACAACATATATTAATTATATATAATATAATATAATTATATGGCCCTTATTTCTCATGCCAGTAAGGTAATGCTCAAGATCCTGCAAGGAATCCAGCAATACATGGAGCGAGAGTTGCCAGATGTTCAAGCTGGGTTTAGAAAAGGCAGAGGAACGAGAGACCAGATTGCCAATATCCGCTGGATAATGGAGAAAGGCAGGGAGTTTCAGAAAAACATCTACTTCTGCTTCATTGACTATTCTAAAGCCTTTGACTGTGTGGATCATAATAAATTGTGGCAAGTTCTTAGTGGGATGGGCATCCCAAGCCA